GTAGGTAGTAATAGCATTTCCTTAGTCAGCGGCATGCATGGTCAACCTGTTGCGTCTAATGGGGTTGAGGAGAAAATCTATTTATGAAAGTTGATGTTTGCCCTCTTTGCAACTTCAGTCGCTTACATTAAATCAACTTGTGTTGTGACACCGACTTCTATAGTTCGTCTACGTTTTGAAACCAAAAATGTTGTAATAATAAAAATATAGTACCCGTCCATACAAATATGTAATATAAAGATGAGAGTAACAGAAAAATATATAAAAGCATCTCACAGTTTTATTTTCGTTTTATGAAATACACCTGCACGAAACATCTTCTCCCAATTTGTTGAGATCGGCGCAATATCTTGTTTTAAAACTCAATTTCCTAACTTTTCCGGTATCATTTTTCTGTGGACGTTTTCCAAATTTACCTTCCCTCTGATATCTCCATGACGATGAGAACGGCAAACCACATCGACGCGATATTCGGTAATGAAAAATGTGTGTAAGAGGTGTTCGAGCCCGTTCGACTATTTTGGCAGTTTAATATTCAAATTTTATTTTAGATAACAGGAAAAGTGCGTTTATGGGGCTATAAACGTGTACCGCTAAGTTGCTATTCGGGTTTAAAGCGGTTCCAGACAATCACGTACTCGATTTTCAAGCGAGAAAGGTCGATATCGTGTATTTTCATCGTTTTCCTTGGCGGATATGCAAACCTAGCAATAGCTAACATTTTATCTATATAAGTTATAAATAAAAAGCAGGAAACAAAGATGAATAATAAATAAGTTAGGTTTTCATAACAGTTGTAATCCGGAACAAAGATCATAAAACCTTCCCCATAAATTTACTTACTTTACCTACCACCTACCACCATCAGGCCAACATAGATATCGACCGAAAACGGTACATGGTTAAAATCCATAAAATCTAAAAGGTACAAAAACCCTGAAGGGGAAAAAGTCCTAGACAAGTTAAGGGTCTACAACCCTGAAGGGAGGAGTCGACCGAAAGAGAAAAATTTGGGATTATTCCATAATATTTAATACGAGAAAATTGAACAAACGCCCGAAGACGCCATATCTATAAAAGCCGTCAATTAAATTGACTTACAAACGGCGATGGATTAAGATGACAATCAAGTAAAATGGGGAAGGTTTTGTGATCTTTGTTCCGGATTATCATTTACCCCATTTCGAGCTTCCTGAGAGAATGGATAATCAACAAGACAACAGTTGTAGTAGTATTTTACTAATGCCCTTTTGTTCCTTTCTATTTATAATTAATGTGATCACAGATGACGAATTATATGAATTAATATATGTATATAAATAGGTAACGGTGCCTGAACGGAATGAAAGGACTAGAGAATGCAATCTCGCAGCAAAATCTCAATCCCGGTATTTGCGGGATTTCGCAAAACTTTAAATAAATTGGCAAATAAGCAATTCTGTGCGTTTAACTTCTGTATTACAATAAATCGCTAATTATCACAATATTTAACAAAAAAGTGCCTTCGGCCTAACTTAAAACTCAAAAAAACCTTACCTGTAACGCACAAAAAGTCTTCTAAAGTGCCTCAAAAATCATAGTACATTTTTAACGAAAAAAGTTTAACAATTATTTAAAAAATAATTCGCCGTTATCAGTTTCATTAACAGAGTCGTCCCCTTGGTCGACAAATTCCTTAGTCCCGCAAATCCCGCGGGATCCCGCTCCATTTATGTGCGGGATTAATCTCGCAAAAATGCTGCGGGATCCCGGTATTTCGGGATCCCGCAATCCCGGTATTGCATTCCCTAGTTTCTAGTCTATAACTTTTGATTGAGAAGTCTGATCGAAAAAGTACGAATTGTTTTGGATTCTACGCACCAAAATTAATAAGAAAAAGTGTTTTCCCGAGAAATTTTGGTGCAGTCGATTTTTGGTAAAAAAGGAAGGTTATACACTGCCTTTTTTTGAGGCTCCGAAAAAAAATTGTCTCAGATCGACCCGGAAAAAAATTTTCTTATAGAATGTGGCCTGTAGAATCCATAATTTCAAACAGTTCCAAGATTGGGCTACTAGTTCAAAAGATACAGCCCTTTGAATTTTCTTTCGAAATTGGTTTCTAGTCTATAACTTTTGATTGAGAAGTCTGATCGAAAAAGTACGAATTGTTTTGGATTCTACGCACCAAAATTAATAAGAAAAAGTGTTTTCCCGAGAAATTTTGGTGCAGTCGATTTTTGGTAAAAAAGGAAGGTTATACACTGCCTTTTTTTGAGGCCCTCAAAAAAATTGTCTCAGATCGACCCGGAAAAAAATTTTTCTATAGAATGTGGCCTGTAGAATCCATAATTTCAAACAGTTCCAAGATTGGGCTACTAGTTCAAAAGTTACAGCCCTTTGAATTTTCTTTCGAAATTGGTTTCTAGTAGGGAATGCAATCCCGCAGCAAAATCTCAATCCCGGTATTTGCGGGATTGTTAGATGTTAATCCCTCGGGATCCCGGAATTTGCGGGATCTCGCAAAACTTTAAATAAATTGGCAAATAAGCAATTCTGTGCGGTTAACTTCTGTATTAAAATAAATCGCTAATTATCACAATATTTAACAAAAAAGTACCTTCGGCCTAACTTAGAACTCAAAAAAAACCTTACCTGTAAAGCACAAAAAGTCTTCTAAAGTGCCTCAAAAATCATAGTACATTTTTAACGAAAAAAGTTTAACAATTATTTAAAAAATAATTCGCCGTATTTCGGGATCCCGCAATTGCATTCCCTAGAAAGGACTGATACCTACCTTGTTAACAGTTTTAATGGGCAAATTCGTTATTACTATTTTCTGCATTCATTGTTTCAACTTTACGTTTGAGATTAAAACTGCAAGTAAAACAGTCAGTTATGGATTTAAATATTGCAAACTACGCGTTAGCAATTGTTTGCTACAAGTTCAATAGATAAAGCAATACGTTAGATATGTAAGTAACTTTTGGCTATAAATTGAATTGTTAGCCCAACGTTTAGCCCACCTTCTACCTCGTTGCTTCCTACCGTAAACTGGAGCTTATTCTCGCAGAACTTTTCCAAGGGCGTCTCATAAACTTCGTATCTGTTTGCGTAGGTCGAATGGTTTTAATCATGGAAAATGTGAAGCAATAAACGCAGACGTTTGTATCGATTAGTTATGCGACAAGAACGCATACTCTTGACGCCAATTTGAATTTACAGTAGAGTGAGCACATCGGCTTTTGCCCAGCAGTAATCACAATAGGGATGAAATGTTCATTTTCGAATTGTAGTCATGTTTTAAAACCGGCCAATTCCTTTGTAATCAAGTTGCCTGGATGCTTTCATTCATGTCAGTACTTTTTAAACGAAATAATAAAGAAGTTTCCAACTTTTTGTTTCCATTTTGGAGCGATTGTTTGCATCAGACAAAGATTTACCTCACATTTAAAATTGCGATGAAAAGTTTATATTATATGATTTTATGATTCTTTCCTTGCATGCAAAAATTGCCTGCGTAAATCCCATGGCGTGAACACAGAATTGAACATTTACATTGCGTACCTGTTACTGTTAGATTATCACCAATTCACCACACTGTATTAGATTTGGCAGAAACTGACGAAGAGTCGGTCAACCAACCATCTTCAAGAGTTGACTACCGCTCATCACTCCAACAACTGTAACAAAAAAAACAATTAAACATATAATTCGGTCAGATAGGGTCCGCTTTAAACTTTAATTTGAATTTTTCTATTTGCCATGAAGATTGTAGCCGAGGATGCTATATAGTCTCCTTGGGTTGTAGCTAATGTTTTGAAAGTGTAACTAAAATAAATAATTTCATTCACATTCACATTGAAACCTAAATTTCAAAGCGTGAGTGTGGAAAACTGCACAAAAAGATCTTTCATACTTTGAATGTGGTGAGGTGCACCAATAAATGTCGTGCAGTAATTATAAAACAAATATTCAATTAAAACCCAATATTTAAAAACTTGGCGGGTGATAGATAGTGTACAAAAACTCTTTCATTTTTCTATTCTAAAAGGAAATTTCAAACCAAATTGGAAGGACCCAGTGAACCTTAGATCGTACAAGCTGTACGGAATTCTAGAAAACAAATTTCAAGACAGGTTTGTAAACCATCTTCACATCATGGAGATTGAATTTTACGCATGAGAGTTTGAGTTTGAAAAACGTTATAAAAATGTTCTTTGTGCAAATAGCATCAGAATTTCGAGGTCGATGGGTACACAAAGGCTATTAAATCCAGAGTTCAATCGTACGAGAAATATTTTAAGCATAAATCGTAGATAATCTTTAAACTTGGTTTAACCATTCGAAGAACCTAATTTCCCTTTAAAAGCCATACTTTGAAAATTGTTTGAAAATTAAAGATGAAATAATTTTACTCAAAATTTCAAAATATGCGGAAATTGAAAGTCGTGATGGGACATTTCTAACTTAAAGTTTTTATTGAGAGTTGTCTTTATCAGCTTTAAGTTTTGATAGTCAAGACCCACAAACGGCGATTCTGAAGCTCTTCTCAAGCTTGGCAAAAAGGTAGGTAGATATTTAAGCTTGAAATCTAGTTTTTCAAAATCTTGGGGTTGTAAGGCGCAAGGTGCGATTCTGAATTGAAATGTTTACGTTAGGCGTTGAATGTTAGGAAGATTCATAGCTTTCAACCGCGACCCTGTAGTGCGATCCAATTAACCAACCCAAATATTTTTCGAATTATTAAAGTTGTGCATTAATATTAAAAGCCTAAAAGGAAAGGGAACAAATACTTCACCTCATTTGCATTCAGGACGCCGAACTAATTTTCTTATCAAAGCTATTACGTTTCGTCGTCTCCAAGATTATAAAAAGACTACTAAAAATGTCACTTTAAACAGAATAAATCAATTAAGCACTCAAATCTTGCTTTACCTATAAAATTAAAATTAAACTCTCTTGCCTTTCAAAACGAATTATAAAGCCTTTGATTAAAATTCAAATCCCAACTTGATTCATCGTCCTGGTTGAGCAATAAGTTTACAAGATCTCTAACGCAGGTACGAAATTTACCTTCAGCATGAAAGCGTAAGGAGAAACTGAGATGTATTTCAACATTGTTTATTACAATAGGAATGTACTTAATTAAAATTTGAGCTCTTCTCAATGCTGTACTTCCCGAAAGCTAACCTCAAAAGATTATCGCCGTTCTATAAGCAACGCCGTGATTGTATTTAGCTTGAGTTGAGCTCGAAAATATTTGCTGAAAATGATTAAAACGGATTTATCTCTAGGCAGTGCCCTTTTCTTCATTTGTGGGAACTTAATTAGATATTGCGGCCTTTTTTATCCCGTCACGTAATGCATCTTTCTTATACTGGAATAATAATTGCCTGAAATGGAAGTGGGGTATTGCTCTATTTTCCAAAATCTGTAATGGAAATGCCTGGATTCATGCATTTTTTTGCGTGCCTTGCGATAATTGAATATTTCATAGATCCTTCCTGCGTCTTGTGGATATTTACTAAGTACGTAATAATACGAGCGAATTGTATTGTTTTCATGGCGTTATTTAGTTAAGGGGTTAAAATAACCGCAACGCCCTAATGGAATGGTGCAATGGACATGAACTCAATTATGTTTCATAATATGGAAAATGACATTTAAATGTTACAACTTCATTACCAGGAATCTGCATTGCATTTCAGTTAGGGTAAATTGTATCGTTATTTTAAATTACAACCGTTACACCCCGTTTTGCTAGAGAATTAATTAATTCTTTCTTTCAATTTTGCCATTAAGATTTATATTGCTATAGCCACCAGAGTACAAAAAAACGAGTTAGATTGTCAATATCAGCGAACAACTGAAATCAAATGCACAACCTGACCCATACATTATTGATAAGGTTCATGCAGATAAATAATCCAAATGAATTAAAGAATTTTTGGGTTGTGGTCATCGTCCCTACCTAAACACTGCTAAAATTTTAGCACCTATTTTTCCGATGATAACAAAATACACAGTCTTCTATCCACTACACGTTGGAGCCCAGATGAAAGTTCAAAGTTTCGTTCTAAAAGGGAAAAACGTTAAAACTTGCAGCTTTATGTACGAACTATCTGTGTTAAATTATAAATCTGATCACACCACCCTGCTTGATATTATAATCTTTAGCACTATACAACCTCCAGGTGAATTTTAAATACCCAACTTTATTTTTGCTTTACAAACTTGTACGCTTTAACAGAGGGGATACTCGTAACCCCTTTCAACTATATCCAAACTTTGTTGTAATGACACAAGCAATTTGATTATAAAGTGAACTATTGCGTTTCAGAACTAATTGTCTGGGGTCAATTTCCCCATAAACACGACATTTCGTTACGTTCTTAAATTGACGAATGGCTCCTTAGAGCTTTCGACGGCTAAAAACTTTTCCCTTCCATCTCGAGGGCCGACATATGCGTAATGAATAATGTAATGTGGTTGCGGTCGTGTATATTTTATGGAATAGTCGGGCTCTATTCAAACTAGACACTTATTCAATTGCGTAGAATCGGCGACCCGTAAAACTACGTTTTGCAGAAGTACGTGGAAACATCTGTGCGTGTGCTCTGAATAAACTTGTTCGACCGGAAAGGTTTTCAAAGCATTCAAAAGGAATATCTGCGGTAATTTATATGTCCGTCCGTCAGTCCAGACTGAAACTATACTGAATATATTGCTATGAAACCACGCATAAGGCTTATCAGTGCTACGGGCGGCTTCGTCTTTATTTAATTTTAAGTTACCCAATCATTAGATAAATCCAAAATTATTGTTTTTATTTGAATGGTTAAGACATTGTAACATGGTAAAGGTGTTGTAAAAAATTTTCTTATCAATTTAAATTACTTGCCAAGTTTTATGTTCGTATAGGTATAGTTTGGCATGTATGTTGTATTGTTTAGAATCTAGAGAAGCAAATAATTGATAATATTCTGTTTATGTGATAAGGCAGGTGTGTTATTAGTACGACACAAAACATTTGCATTTTTTAACAGAAAAGTGGAAGTGCTACCGGGTAAGTGAAAACGGTTTTGTTATCTTAATGTAATGGCGGATACATTTGAACCGATACCCTGTTGCGCTCGGCTGATGGTAGAGCATGAATTATACAAGGGCGCCAGGGCTATGCGCGGAAGGTACTCTCAGGGTCGTGACGTTAACTAGCCCGTTCTGGTAATTTGACCATTAAATTATGAACAACGTGAGGGTAAGTTTAATTTTATTCAAAATTATCAAACGTTAATATCTCAATATTTGATTTTAGTTGTCCGACTGATCGTGTGAGATGGAGGTGTGACCTGTCGCGGAGATCTCTTACAGAATTCGGATACCTTATTGGTAAGTACAATTTTATGGTGTTATGTTTGTATATGATTGTAAGTGTACGATACAGTCTGACCTTTTTCTAGACGGTTTACTTCGGAAGACGGTTGAAGACCTTGACGACTGGAGCTGCTGCTGGAGTTGGAATAGGATAGATTTATTTTGACTGCTACGTTAGATGTTGATTTCCTTACGAGTGCCAATTCTAGGGCAACTCTAATATTTCGATAGAAATTATATAATTACTTAAAAGAACCCTGAAATATTAAAAATTAGCTCCAAGCAGCTACAGATTAATTTAATGCATTACCAGGATGAACTGGGTTCCAAATATATAGTATAAGATTAAATAATTAATTTAGGGTAGCCATGAGGCACCTATCATATAGATCTGAAAATTATAATTAAATATGAATACGTCATTACAGAAAGAAAATACTCACGTATTATTACAAATTGTTTAATTAACTTTATTATTTTGCTCTTCTTTAGAATTATTTAATTAACAATCTTAAGATGCATTCAGCTGAATAACTTGACCATTCAAAAATCTAATGGCAAATGGCTGGTCACCTTTTGCTATCAGAGATGACCCTCATCATCCTGTTACCTTGACTTTGTTTATCCTTTTGGTAATAAATTTGAATTAAAGCGGCAAAAATATTTAAATTTTATATAAAATTAAGTGAAACCGTTACAGAAGTTCTCGGTAATATTGTGTTTGGAAAAAAGGGGAGATGTCTCTTTGGAATTGACGTTTCGCCTTAGGATGCTCCATATTTTGACTGCGAACAACTACAGCATAAGTTTTTTTTTAACTTAACAGAAGCGCTAACGCTGGGTTATTACAAACTTAAAAAATCCATTTAGAAGTTTGTAAATCAGAAATCTTCTTAAAACCTGTGTTGGAATCTTCTTAAAAATGGTGCGCTTTTAAAAAAATCCTTCTCAAGATTTCTTTAAAATCATTTAAGGATGGTGAATGTAATCTAAATCAATTTGTCTAACGCCTCCCGCGAAACCGTCTTCTTAATTCCAATGTCCTTTTTTTATAAAACTTATTATGGATCTTAGAAGTCTTCCCAAGGGCTTTCAGAAAGCTATTTAGGAACGTTATTCCTTGAAACCTACTTCGCAATCTAGTGGAAAATATATGGATATGGATATTTTCCTATCCTCTGTTATTATTCTTTTCAAAACTTCGTATGTTAATGTTACTCATTCCAATAATTTATTCTTGTATTTGATGTCTTTGTCGATCTGGGGGTCTGTTCATTTACGATCGTTATTTTTATTTGTTTGTATTTAGTTCCATTTTCATGTTTTCAACTTCTTTGCACCAACAAAATTAAGTCTTGCTTAAAGTTAAATCGAACTTAAAATCTATGGCGACGATTATTAAGACAATCGTTGCTATGGTATTTAAGTTATGCTTAACTTTAAGGGATACTTAATTTTGACGGTGCAATTGGCCCTTAGTCCAGAGCCTGATGGCGGAATCCTAGCGAGCGACTTTTTACAGCCACAATGCATTTATGGAGTAAAACTATTTCTGTCTTTTGCTCACATTTTTAAGTGTATGTAGACGTGTAACGTTGTTTTGACTTTTACGGATCGGTAGTGTCTGGAATGGGACCTTTCACACTTGTGTGATAGTACCCCACCGGGATGTGCCTCCCTTAATAATGAGAAGCTATCAATTTCAACGCTTATTCTGTATCAAACCATTAGGCAAAGTCCTCTAGTACGCGGTATTTACCTTTAGAAACTTACAACATGGAAAGCACAACTATAAATAGAGAAATGCCAAAATAATGGATCCAACTTTAGTTTATTTAACGGCTTTCCTATTATGCTAACGCCGAAACATTTCACCACGATGATGCTATGTGAAAATTGACCTAGAATCTCTAGAAAATCGTTTTGTTTGTCTCCTCGTAATCCTATTTACTCTGACTACTATCCACAGAAAACCTGAAAATTATCGTAGCGGTTACTAGGCTTCCCATTATGTAGAAAAATAAATATATAACTCAAATTGATTCCTAAGGCATAATAAATAGGTTTCGGGTTTAACGATAATGAAGGTAAATGAACTTCCTGTTTTCCATTAGGGTTAAATTGAGGGAAGCCATGAAATAACTGAAGCATTCTGAAATGTTAAACGCCCAGTTTCAGCACTCGCACATGCCACGTCCGAGAAAAACAATTTAATCCAGATCATTAACGTGGAGGCGAGAAAAAGCGCGTCGACTAAATATTAAATTCGCATAAAGTGGTAGATTGGATTAAACGTAAAGTTGGGAATTTTCGTTAGCAATATGAACAACAAGACTGGGAGAGGGAAATAAATAATGGGTACGTATTGTCTAACAGATTTGCAAAAGGGATTAACAAAGGGACGATGTCCAACAATACACCAATTTACCCTTTCTAAATTAAAGACGATATGTTGATGGGTAGAATTCTGAATGCGGATGAGTTGTTTTTGACACATAGCACTGAGTATCGGAGCATCATTTAATCAGATGCTTCCTCACTTCCTCGTTTAACTATTCACGTCGTAATAAGCGTATCGGGACGCTAAAATAAGAACACTCATGAAATTAGCCTGCAACACCTTATATTCCTCATCGTTCAGTGGTGCTGAACGTGTACTATAGATAGAAACAATCCTTATGAAGATTCAATGTATTTAGGCATTGAATATTTTTATTCAATGATTTAGGTGTGTTTAAATGCACGATTCTCTTAGTCTTAGATCGATTACTAATTTAGTTGAATAATTACTGCCAAATAAATTACCTAATTCATCCGACTCCCTCTTTGACATACCTAGACATATACGTATGTGCAATTCCAGAGACTGGTAAGTGAGGGAACAAGGGCGAAAGCAATTAACATAACATTTCGCCCACGCATTGTAATACCAAATCACTTAGCCCGTATGAATAAATTTCAATCCAAAGGGGCCGCTGATGAACACAATAAGGTACGATTGACTTCAAAGGAGCACGAATGTCACCGTACCCACATACATAATTGAAAGCTTAATTAAAAAGGAATTCTCGAAATTAATTTCCGCGAGGTTTCACAAACGAGCGTTTCAATTTACTCTTAAAAGAAATCAAATTTGTCGAAATTAATTAACTTGATCGTATCGTTTATAAAATATGGTAGCGGGAGATTATTTCCAGACGATTGCTTGTCGACAGAGGCCTTTTCAGTTTACAGTAACCTTATTTGATCCTGTCTCATATCCTCCTTCGCTTTTGCTTCGTCTATTCGATATGGCTGGCTATAAACCTAGTTTTAGTTGCTCCGTGTAATCTCGTTACTTCTCTTTTTTGTTCGGAGTGTGTAGAACACTGAGCTTTTAATGAAGTACATACATGCTACACTTAAATTATTATAATCAACGGGTGACGCAAGAGAAAGTAATTGCAACGATGTGCATTTGAATTGGATTAACCAACATTTTTAGTTTTAGGTCTATGAGTACTCTCATAAACTGTGCTGTATGAGCAGTGCCTAAAGTGAAAATACATTTCCTAAAGTTACTAACAAGATTCTATCCAAGAAGAATCTATCTAGGATTTCTATGAATACTTCTTAAAGCGTTGCTGACAATAGACCTTAATACATTTCAGAAGCTAAAAAGACAATCTCATTTACCAGACCTCTAATTAAAAATTTGAAACAATGAGCTTTTTAAAACTTATTTTATAGGAAAATTTGCTTACAATTAACTCAAAAAAGTTTAAAAAGGCCAGAATTTTCATTAAGTTTTAAAAAATCAAGAATGTATTTAAAAATATGTACAGTGTACACGATATTTTCTAGTATTCTTTAAGACAAAAGTAGCATGTGGAGGTAAAATAACGCCGGTCCAGATTTCTGTGGTAATACGACCCATAATGAGATAAAATAGTATACCTACCTACAGAGCAACTGTATTTATCCCTCTTGCGGTAAACATTGCTCGAGGCGTAAAGAATGAGCATAGTCCCCAGCTCATAACGGGATTAATACATGTCTTTCGCTCCTTTGTTATAATATACTACTACTAGATACATTTTCAAAAGAACGAATTCCTGCCACTCCTTCATTATAATTCGTAAGTGAGAGACAGTGCCTTCGTGCAACGACTAAACTTATCCGTGCTACGTTTTCGACGGAAAAAGGTAGAAATGTTTTTTTAGCAAATTGCGGAAGCTCGCCCCGAGTGATTGACAAATACACAGCGGAAACGGAAACGGAAACAGGCTCTGTACCGAACGGTCGTGATTTACTCGACGGTTACTGCAATTATAGGGTTGACCCGCATGTGTTTGATAAATACCCACATTTTGTAACGTTGCAGATACTAATTAAACTTACGGGCTTAATTTTTACCTGAATTATACCTATTGTGTAAATATTTCAAGAAAACTTTGCGAACCTTGGGTGTATGGATTTTAATGCCAACCATATTGATCCGATTTCTGTCCACACTTTTTCATTATCCACAGTTACAAAACTTCCGGACATATAAATTAACACAATTCGTTCTGAACTTTAACGAGAACGGCTTTTTGACTTTGTATTATGGTGTCACATGCACAAACTTAATGGAGTCGGATTACTGCATTAGTTCGTAAATATTTAAAGCATACAGGGCTTTCATTTGAAAACGATATTTTGATAAAAAATGAAAAATTGTAACCAAGGAAGTATTTAATGTTATACCTTTACCGTAGTTTAGTATTCACACGCACCGCGCCCCCAAAGTACCCACACCTTAAAATTATAATTAATTATGCCCCCTCCCATGCAGTGACACAATATTTTAAACGCCCTAGGCACAAAGCTTGGATAGCCTGGTTATGAATCAATTTTACAAACCAATGCAATTACACAATAAACATGAATTTACATTTCACCTATTAATTGATTGATTTTTGTGGTAGATTGCCTCTTAGATCTAGAATATTGTCAGGTGGAGTCTTTTATACTACCGTCTTGAAATGTCCACAAATAAAGAAAGCAAGTGGAGTGACGATTCGCTTTTATTTTGAAAGTTGTGCATGCATTACCTACTCTATTACAACTATGGCAGCAAAAAGAAGTTCCTCACTAACCAATAAATGTGATGCGTGTGATGGGTTATAAAGTTAAGATCTTTTCCATTGCAATTTTGGAACCAAGTAGTAATCTTTTTGTAACACTAATCGACAGGATATTCTTAAATAATAACAATATTTTTATTCTTAAATTGTAAGATCACAATTACAGAAAAGCCAGAAAAACTAGCAACTTTCTCAACGAAATGATACTTCGCTTTTTGAATATGATCAGAGAAATGTCACATTTATTTGACGTACTCAAAATAG